AACAATTAGAGGATATATTGGTAGGGAAAACTCCCATTGATAATAGTCAAAAAGAAGATTAAATACTTAGGAATAAATTCAACAAGAAATACGTAAAACCTAGGTAAGGAAAATTTTAAAACAATCTGGGAAGACTTGGAAAAAGACTTGAAAATAGTGAAAGATGTCCTCTCTTCTTGGATAGGAATCTTAAAAATTATTATGCCGTCAGCTCTTTATTTTTGTAAGATTTATTTATTTATTTTAGAGAGGGAGAGCAGGGGGAGAGGGAGAGAAGCAGACTGCCTGCTGTGTGGAGTCTGACACTGCGCTCGATCTCACAATTCTGAGATCGTGACCTGAGCCAAAATCCAAAGTCAGAATCTCACAATCCTGAGATTGTGACCTGAGCCGAAATCTAAAGTCAGGCACTTAAATGACTGAGTCACCCAGGCACCCCTATGTCAGTTCTAAGTTAATTTATAAATTAAGAGCAATCACAGTAAAAATGCCAGATCTATTGGTTATTTTAGGAAGTTAGACAAGTTGTGATAAAGTTCATAGGGACTATATCTGGGAAAAACCCCTGGGGGGGGGGGCTGAGGAAGATTGTGAGGTGTACTAATTTTACCAGATATTAAAATATACCACAAAGTCTTTGTAATTAAAACAGTGGCTACTAGCTCATGAAGAGACAATAGACCAGTGGAGTAGAAGAGAAAGTCCAGTTAGATTCTAATACTTGTGGAAATTTAGTATGACGCTATTTACACAAGAATAAACTCCAAAGGGATTAGGGATTGAAATGTAGAGAATAAAACATACACACTTTGTTATAGTGAAAGGCTTTCTAACTATGATTTAAATCCAGAGGTAATAAAAGAAAGATTTGATAAAATTGACTACATAAAACACACCATAAACAAAAGATCGCTATCAAACTTGGAAAAAATATGTACCACAAAAAACCAATAACCCTCATATAGAAGACCTTAAAAGTTGAGGGACAAAGACCAAAAACACAGTGGAAAAATGTGAAAAAGATAAACCAAGAGTTCACACACAAAAAAGATATAAAAATGACTCAGACATGAAAAAATATATTCATAATTTGAGAAATGCAAATTGAAATGACACTAAGATACCTTTTCTCACTTATCAGACCAGCACAAATTTAAAAATATGTATTCTTTTGATGAGGCCGTGAAGAAACGGGCATTTCTGTACATTGCTGATGGAAATGCAGATTGGTACAAGCCTTCTCTAGGGCGATTTGGTAATGTCTGAGACAAAATACATAGGTGCTTACCTTTTCATCCAGTCAGTCCCACTTCTAGCAGTCTATACTAAAGATACACCTCCAGCAGTATGAAATTTACAGGGTTATTCATTGCAGCATTGTTTGTAATTGCAAAATATTTGAATTGCCCTAAATATACATGCATAGGAGAGTGTTGAACAAACTGTAGGACATCACACAGTTGAGTGTTGTGCAGCTATACTGAAGGATGAGCAAGGATGAACCAATAGGGTGATTTCTAGGAGATACCGTTACAGGAAAAAAGCAAAAGCCCAAAAGCATATGCTACCTTCCATCTGGAAAGTAGGTTTGCAAGTTATCAGTTTGTTGGCTCTCATCTATAAATTGGCTTTTTTTGCCTGCTCTGTAAAAATAGGCCTTGGCCCTTTAAATAAATATTTATCCTTTGTCAGCTGGCACAGTGTAATGCTGTGTCAGTAAAAATGGAGAGGGAAGGGTTGCCAGAGGGAAGGGTTTTGCTTCCTGCTCCAGTGGGCAGTGTGTCCGGGGCCTGCAGTACCTGGCAGCCTGTAGCACCCACTGCCCAGCAGCTTCCCTACCACTCCTCTCCCCTTGATGCTTCTCTTGTACAGCTTTTCCTGGTACCCTAGATTTCCACAGTTCCACTGGTGGAGAACCATAGCCACTTTCTCTGCCATTCAGTGAGTCACAGCCATGGCCTTCCAGCAAAGTGCAGATCTCAGTCCTGGGGGGGGAAGAGGAAGACTTGTTGGGTACGCTTTCTCCGCCCAAATGGTAGGGTACTCCTTATATCTGCTATTCCTATATTCTAGAGTTCTCTTGTTATGTGCTAATCTCTCATTACTCTAATCCTCTGTTAAAGTTAATCTTTGCATTAAGCTTTCTCTGTTCTAATTACTGTGTAGGTCTCAGAATGATAGAAAAAGTTAGGAAAATCCACAAGATATTTGCTTATTTGAACAAAAATGGAAAGGATAAACAAGAACTGTAGAGATTGGTTGCCTGCAAGGGGTGGGTGGGAACGGGATAGGAGGTAAGGAGGGAGTACGAACAAGTTAGTAGGGGTGAAGAGGGAATGACACTTCTTTGAGTGTGTTTATATATATGTTTATAACTGATTCTTAGAACCATAGTGATGTTTCATCTGTCTTTTACACATCCCAAAAGCAATCAAAACCAACCAGGATATGGGTGGGAGAACCCAGAATAGAGTGTAAAAACTAACACATGAGGGATGCCTGGGTGGCTCAGTTGCTTAAACGTCAGCCTTCCGCTCAGGTCATGATCCCGGAGTCCGGGGATCGAGCCCCGCATCCGGCTCCCTGCTCGGCGGGGTGTCTGCTTCCTCTGCCCCTCACCTTGCTTGTGTTCTCTCTCTCTCTCTCACTCTTTCTGTCTCTCAAATAAATAAATAAAATCTAAAATGAATAAAATTTTAAAAAAACCACTAACACATGAGCCTGTGTCACAACATAACAACGCTGGAGAGAATGGGGAAGAAAGGACTAACCTAAGTCCTACAAAAACGTATCTTGATTCAGTGTTACAAGACTAAAAACAAAGAGCGCTGTTCATGTTTTAGTGTTTCTCACAGGGTACAGATCAGCAATGCTGAAACTATGTGTTTTCTAGACTCAAACAAATAATTAATAGATAATGGGAGCGGGGTTTCTCACTTGTGGAGAAAAAAGTTACAAGGAAAGGTTAAAGGCTAAAATGAGTGATTTTTAGTTTGGGATTAGAAGTAGCAGTATAAACTCATGGTTTTAAGTACATAACAGAAAAATACAGAAGTGCAGATGTTCGTACATGCGTGGAATAATACACAGAGGTATGTTTTCTGCCTTTCCCTCCCAAGAGGTCTAGAAGAAGCGCTGACTGCAGTAACAGTAATGCCTAGCACTTAGCTAATGGCCTCTGAACACCTGTCTCGGGCGC